TAATTTGATGTTTATATACAATAAAAATAAAATCTAGGTATTATACATACATTTAATATTTATTTTGTTAGATGAATTTCACTTTCAGCCATATCTGTTTTACATTATAAACTGATTTTCCAGACTTTATGTGTTATTGAATAAAATATTTTGGATTTCTGTCTTTTTACTCACAAATGACTACGCTGTACATATTCTTAGGCCAGAGCTTGTCAAGTTATTTGGAATGAAGGAATAATCAGTGTTTGTGTCACAGAGATTGTATGGTAGCTTTGAGACAACTATCAATCAACCAAATAATATATTATATAGTATAATTTAATATAAAAAATCATAAGGTCTTAATGAATATCTGTTACAATAAAAGTTAAAAAGGTCAAAAAAAAAAAAAAAGAACGTGGTTCCATATGGTTTAGCGCCTTGTCCACAGCCCTGTGCCCCAAAGCCTGTGGCTGTCCTGCTTACCCACTGTAAAGGCAGAAGAGTGGCTTAGTACTGTGCTCATCTGTAATTTCACAGTTCAATTACGTACACACAAATCTGCACTGAAGGCAAGTAGATTACACTAAGGTGGATATAACTCATCATAGGATTGATTGTAGAATTTAAAATATTCCAGAGTAGAACTCCTGTGATTAGTGAGTGTTTTTGTTTAGTTTTCTATTGCTGTGATGAAACTCCATGACCAAAGTGAGTTTATTTGGCTTACACTTCCATATTACTGTTCATCATTGAAAGAAGTCAGGACAGAACCTCAAACAGGGCAGGATCCTGGAGGCAGGAGCTGATGCAGAGGCCCTGAAAGGGTGCTGCTTACTGCCTTGCTCCCCATGGCTTGCTCAGCCTGCTTTCTTATAGAACCTAGAACCAACAGCCTAGGGATGGCACCACCCACAATGAGTTGGGCCCTCCCCATCAATCACTAACTAAGGAAATGCCCAATGGGCTTGTCTCTGAGCCCCTCTTATAGAAGCATTTTCTTACCCTAGGTTCCCTTCTCCCAGACGACTCTAGCTTGTGTCGAGTTGACATGAAACTGTCAAGCACAGTGTCCTTTGTTTTTCATGGGTACTGTGAACTTTCATATGACGTATGTATCTGAAGATTAATCTGAAAGATCGGAGGCCACGCCATTGCTGACCATGACACTGACTCCCGTCGGCTGTGACAAATATGACAAGTGCTTGGGTTTTAATTTGTAAAAACAAAATGTTAGCATTTAACCTACCTCCTACTTACTAAATGGTGTTTAGTCTGAATAATTTTTCAGGTTTAGCATCCTTTCCCCTAAGCCACAATTTAGGATGTGAAAATTGGCCAAAGCCTACACTTAACTCTCATACTTAGTAGCTCCTGCTTGCAATTGTGTAGTTAGGAGAAATATTCCTTCTTGAAAGATACATCTAACTATCAGAGTTCTTTGCAAGCTGGAGCAAGACTGTTTGATGACTTGGAATTAGCATGCTCGTAGCCTCCAAATTGTTGAAGAGACCAGTGTTGCTGGTTTAAGATTACATCTAAAGTACTTAAGACAAAGAGGGACAGTGGTGGCGCACATCTTTAATCCCAGCACTCAGGAGGCAGAGGCAGGCCGATCTCTGTGAGTTCAAGGCCAGCCTGGTCTACAAGAACTAGTTCCAGGACAGCTAGGGCTGTTACATGGAAAAACCCTGTCTTAGAAAATCCAAAAAAAAAATAAAAAATAAAAGACAAAGTCAATGTGTCTTCCACTTGTTGCTTCAACACACAGAGTTCATTTTAAATTTGTATAATAGAAGTGCTATCTCTGAATATTTATTGAGATTTTTTAATAAATCATATTTGCATTATTAATATAAATATAATGAAGCTTTATCAAAGCAGAAATGTAATGTCCACTTAAGAAGTGCTCTCAACATGGTGCCTAGAGGCCAGAAGCTGGTGGCTGTGGTTGAACATCTCAGAGTGGCTCTGAAAGGCCCTTCTCTGGAGGCCTCAGCACAGTCTCCATCAATCACATGTATTCCTCACACTTAGTTGTTGTTTTCATCTCATCTGATTTTCACTGTGTTTGCCCAAAGCCCGCCTCTGCCACTTACTAAATGGCACTTAGACTAACAAATTATTCATGTTTAATATTCTTTCCCCTGTGTCACAATTTAGGACAATCTAATTTTTCTAAAAGATCATCTTGATTGGGATAATACGTTCCACTGTCCTGACTCTAACTCAGCATGCACAGCCACCCTCCCTTGTGTCCCTGTCCCAACTCTCTACTGTACCTATTGTAAAGCCTCGATCAAAGAAGCCCCAGAGAAGAGCACTGATTGGCATATTGTTTCATCGCCTTTGTTCTCCCTGGAGCTAGAGCTGCAGGGTTTATTCTGTAAATCCCTTACAGTTGCAATAGCCATTAAAATGTTTGCATGGTGTTGTTTATCAAGCAAGTGGTAATTTAAAGATAACAGTTTATTCCTCCAAGTATGATGTTTTCCAAATCTGCCTCTATTTGCTATGCAACAGGACACTTGGCCTAGATTATAAGGGCCACCAGCGGATGCTTTTGTTCTTATTAAAAATGTCTGTAGCATTGGCAGATGATACTAGTTTGTCAAATAGCCCTTCCAACATTTTACTTGTGAAATACAAAAAAAATAAATTAACCACTTAAATAAAAACGTGCTTCGGTTGCCTTTCTTAGGTTTCTTTCTTTTTTAAAACATCAAAATAGGGTCTTGCTAATGTAGCATAGCTGTATATTCAAGCCTCCATTCTTCATGCCTGAGCCTTTAGAGTGATGGGGGATGCAGCAGTGTGTCACCATGTCCCTGTCTCTCCTCCATGTTTTATCAGTTATCCTAATTCGTTGGGTATCCCAGGTTCTCTGTTAAGGTCCAAGAAAAGTTGATTCTATGAGCAAATGTCACTTATAATTAATGTTCCTTCCTTAACAATAATTGTGCCAGTTTGCCACTTGTCACTTTGATAAAATACTGACCAAGAGGAATTTGGGGAAGGAGAGGGTCACAGGTTACACGCCATCATTGAGGGAAGTCAGGGAAGGAGCTGGAGGCAGGAACTGAAGGAGACACCATGGAGGCTCACTGCTTACTAGCTTGTACACAGGCTTATATTCAGCTACCTTTCTTACTTAGCTCAGACACACCTGCATAAGGATGGCACTGCCCACAGTGGACTGGGTATCCCACATCAATAGCCATCAAGAAAATACCCCAACAGTTCTTCTTTCCAGGTGTGCCAAACTGAACAACACCTTGATTGCGCATGTCTATTAAACATCCGTATCGATGCCAACATTGACAATACCATAGTTCATTTATGGATTTGCATGAAGTACAATTGCTTTTAATCACTGGGGCCAATCGTCTGCAAAGGTGGCCATGAACAGCTCCACCCCCCCCCCCCACCGCCCCTTAGCATGCTTGTTCCTTCTTCCCTCTGTGGCTAGACTCTATTGTCTTTTCTAACCTCTGAGTTGGCTTTGTGGTTTGTTTTGACTGATAGAATGCAAAGGAATTTTGACATCCAGACTAGGCTTTTACTTGAAAGGCATAGCTCCCATTATTGCCCTCTTCAAAGGTAGCCAGCATGAGCCAAATCTGCTCATCCCGCTGGGAGACCTGTTAAAAAATAAGCTTAGACGAAGACCTGTAGATAAAAGGACTCTGTGAACCTGAAGGATTACTTACAGAGGGACAGGGAGGGATGGCTTCTGGGAGTGGGAAAGTGCCCCAAGCAGGTTTTACTTGCTTGCATGGCAAAAGAACCAGGGAAATGAGATATGGGCATGTTTCCATGGTGATTTTGGTTGGCCTTCAAGATTGTTTGATTTGCCTGGTTTGGGTATTTAGCAAGGATGAAGCTGCCACTGTTGGCTGATGTCGTGACTGGCAGAGTGACAGTCATAATTGCCTTAGATAGTTGCTACCTTTGGCTGACTTTAACAGGCCCTGCTGTCTAAGCAGTGACTCCTGAGTCCATACTATCTTGCAAAAGCACCGTTGCTGTGGCTGCCTTGAGCAATGTTGCCAGTTAAATCCTGCTTCTCCGGCACTTCAGAACGTGGCCTTGTTTGGAAATATGGTTGTTGCAGATACATTACCTAAAATGAAATCATAAGAGAGCATGCTTGACTCAAATCCCAAATGGCTGAAGCCTCTATGAAAGGGAAAATTTGGACCCAGACACGGATACAGGCACACAGAGACTCGTGAGAAGGTACAAGCAGAGACCAGGTGACACAGATGGCTAAAAATGCAACATTGCCAAGCCTGGAGAGAGGTAGGACCAGTTTCCCCTCTAGGGAGAAACATGGACTTTCAGATGCTGTGACGATGAGATGACAAACGTCAAGTTTTAGGTCTGTTGCTCTTTGCTACGGCAACCTACAAAGCTCACTCAGGTGCACAGCCCACCTTCTCTCCTTTCATGTCATCCTGGAGAGGGATCATGGATCAGCCATGATCCGGGTGGATCAGCCCAGGCTTAGGGTTGTACCCTTAGTGAGGATGTTGCCAGAAGGTATCACATTTCAATCCAGTTAAAATTAAAATTCTCAGTTCTTTTCAGAAAGTTGTGTGAAAAGCAACTTATTGGGTATTTGCGGTGTTAGGAAAGGAGATGATATTTGACACTAGGACCTCTTCAGTACCTTTGAAATGATACCAGACAGATTGTTTCTTCCAACCTCTTTGAGACCCTCCTACCAAAAATATGTCATTACTTATTCCAGAGTTTCCTAGACATTGTCACTTACTTGTTTTTCAGCAGAAACATTATTTAACCCAACTATGTTAGGCTTGGTGCTTGATTATCCAAATACAATCATTTGCATGATTTGGGGTGCCATAATTGCTCCAAGCTGGTATTAGAATCTTAAATGTGGCATATCTTACCCAGAAACCTTTAGTGCTTTATAATAACAATAATATTGTCTGCATTTTGCGGTGATAATGAAAATTACATTTGCAAAACTGTTCATGGTAATGGGACATTCCGAAATGCCAGCAAAAGGAAGTGCATCATGGGAGAGGAGATACGGCTTTACTCACTGGGCTTCGGCTGGCTGTGCTCTCAGGAGGGAGGCCTGGAAGAGCGGTGGGCGACTTGCAGTCCACACCGCTGGAAGGCTGAGTGAGCAGGGACTCTGCATCCCTGGGGCAGAGAAGGTAGGGGTGTTGTCATACTTAGCATACGGTTTGTTTTTAGAAGACATATTTATCTAGCGAATAAGAACTGCATTTTGGAAGCAAGTATGTGTTGCTTCAATTTAACTGTATTTGGTTCTGTTCTGGTTGCTTATAGGCAACCTTCTGGTGGATAATTTATTTAAATATGTTGGGGTGAGGAGTAGAAAGATTGTTCAGCAGTAAAAAGAACTCGCTGCTCTTGTAGAGGACCCAGGTTTGGTCCCCAGCATCCCTGTTCACGACCATCTGCACCTCCAGTTCCAAGGGTTCTAATTTTCTCTTCTGACCTCTATGGTGCACATAGACAATGCAGCCAAAACACCCATACACAGGTTAAATACACCTCTAGAATTTGTCTGGAAAATATATGATATATTCTGTTGTATCTTTACCAGTAGAGTTTTCAGCTCGATGTCAAGCTAATGAACTTTAGCCTGCCTCCCCAGGCACCCACTCCTGACTTCCTTATTTGTTTTTTTTTTTGTTTTTGTTTGGTTTTGTTTTTCCCTCCTCCTGTTTGCTAAGCAGTCTACTCTATTGTGCTGTGCTGCCTCCCTACCCTACCCTGTCCTTTTCACATTCTGATTTGTGTTTGTTGTTTGTCGTGTCCAAACTCGCAGAAAACCCAAGTCTGTGGGGGAAATACGTCTGCAAGGAAGCTAAGAAATTCTTGGCTGTGTGACTCAGTACAACACATGCTGATCAATGAATTTTGGGTGCATTCTCTACCAATTAGGACATTTTGTGAAATTTTGATTAAATATTTCTTTTGACAACTTAATTACTCTTAATCCAGGAGGATTCTGCCCCAAACTGCCAAGTTAACTAACCAAGGCTATAGGCATGCCAATGCAGCTGAAATGTAAAATAGAGGGAGTTAATTCCCTTGGGTCTAATTCATTAGAATTAATTTATCCTGGCCCATATTCCCGTGGACTTATCTTTGCTCAGCTACTTTCAGGAAGAAAAATGTCGTTTTTCACCTTTTCCATTTGTTTTGAAACCACTGACCACAGACAGTTTGCAGACATTGACTTTCCTAAGACCTCTCTGTTCTTGGCTCCAGGACATCTAATCAAGAGTGCCAAGGGTAGCGGGTCAGAGGTGGAACTCCTTTAATCCTAGAACTCAGGAGACAGAGGCAGGTGGATCTCTGTGGGTTGGAGGCCAGCCTGGTCTAAAGATCTAGTTCCAGGATAGCTAGGGCTATTACACAGAGGAAACCCTGTCTCGAAAAACAAAACAAAATAGAACCAAAAAGAGTGCTAAGCGTGTGTTGCAGGTCTCATGACATTAGGTAAAGCCCACTTTCTTGTGGCAATTATATGTGATGTCTATGCTTTTTCTCCTCCGTGCAACTCTGAGAGCACTCAAAGAATGCCCACCTCCAAGGCTGTGGGACTCGCACATGGTAACACCGTCTGGAAAACCTACCGTTCGGACGGCACTGGCAGAAAAGGGTGAACATGTCTGGATTTGGTGTTGTCCACCCACATTTATAAAGCCGCAAAGACAGTTTCAATTCTGCAGAGCCGGATCGTAGTGACTCTGGCCAGCAGCCTCCTGGGGAGCCAAAGTGCCTGGGACTCCAGCCTCTGTTCCTTTGAATGTTTCCTTCCATTCCAGCAAGCATTGTGTCTGATGTCGTCAGACTTCCATGGGGCAAAATTACCCATTTTACAAAGTGCTCTGAAAATCCAATGATACTGATTCAAGCACCTCACTCACCCACATTCAGTCTCCCAACAGCACTTGGCTTTCTAAGGCCAGGGCTCCTTGGAATGCTGCTACTCTTTGCTGTTGTGGCTTACTGGAAGGATAGTGCTCTTTAATGCTTAGAACATACGGGAAGCTAGAGATGGTTTGGCTGCGAAAGTGCCTGCCTTGCAAGCTGAGTCGACAACCCCAGCACCCATATAAATACTGGGTGTGGTGGTATCTATAATCCCAGTTCTGGGTGAAGGGGATCCTTGGGGTGCAGATAGGATGATTCCTGGACTCTTTGGCCAGCCAGTTTAGCCCCAAACATGAACTCTAGCTTTAACAAACAACCTCATCTTAAAAAATAAGATAGAGAAAAAAATAAGATGCAGAGACACCAGATGACCTCTGACTTTCACACATATGTTTTTAGACATACAAACACACACACGTACATGCATTCACATACGCTTTCATGCATAAATGCACACACATACACACATGTGCATGTGATGATACACAGACTGCTCATATTTTACACTGCTTCTCCAAGCTGTGTGACTGAGTCTGTTTTCATAAATGGTAATTAAGGTCATTCATTGTCTTAGTTAATGTTCTATTGCTCTTACAAAGGAAGTATTTAATTGGGACTGGCTTACAGTTTCCGAGGTTTAGTCCATTCTCATTATGGCAGGAAGCTTGGTGGCACGCAGGCAGACATGGTGCTGGAGGAGCTGGGAGTTCTACCTCTGATGTGGGAGTGATTTCTTATTAACAAAGAAACTGCCTAGGCCAACCCTTAGGTGGGTGGAGTAAACAGAACAGAATGCTGGGAGAAAGAAAGCTGAGTCAGGGAGTCGCCATGATTCTCCCCACTCCAGACAGACACAGGTTAAGATCTTTCCTGGTAAGCCAGCTCGTGGGCTACACAGATTATTAGAAATGGGTTAGATAGATATGTAAGAGCTAGCCAATAAGAAACTGGAACTAATGGGCCAGACAGTGTTTAAAAGAATACAGTTTCTGTGTAATTATTTCGGGGCATAAGCTAGCCATGTGGGTGGCCGGGTGCCGGGGATGCAGCCCCGCCACTCCTATTACAACATACCTCTGGATAGGCAAGCATCAGGGAGAGGCACTAGGCCAGGCTTGGACTTTTGAACCCTCAAAACCCACCCCCAGTGACATACTTCCTCCAACATGGCCACACCTCCTAATCTATCTCAAATAGTGCTACTCCCTGATGGCCAAGCATTCAAATATATGAGCCTATGAAGCCATTCTCATTCCAACCACCACAGTCACTAACAGAATTAATCTTCCATTAGTGCTGATATATAAGTAAATGAACATTGCAAAGAGAATTATTTAGCTTGGTAGCTTGGTAATATTTTTTTATGGTGCTGGGCATGAGAACTAGGGGCCCCATGTTTTCTAGGAAATCATTCTGCCACAGAGCCATACCCATTTATTTCTGGTGGTGGGGATTCTGTAACTCCAATGGATTTTGTGCAAAGACAGCAGAAAGGAGCTGATTCATAACTTAATTGCAAAAGTAATCCCTCCCATCCTGTCTTCCTTTATTCCATCTTACCAGGGAAGTAATTGTCATTTAATAAATAGGAGATGTTTCATGGCTTGTTGTTTTGTTTTGTTTTAGGATGCTATTCTAGGCTGTAATTTTTTAAAGAAACCATGAAATGATGATTCCAATACTCAGAAACCCTAAATCTCTTTCTTAGGCATCAAATTCTAATGAAGACTCCAGGGGATGACCCCTGTGGGAAGGATCCTGCAGGCATGGCCCTCTGTCCTTCCCTCTGTATGACCACCATGCTAGCAGACTTGATTGGGCTCCTTGGAGTGGCATGCAGATGGTGGGGAAAGACTGTAGGACATGGGGCACAATGGTGAATGCATCCTGACTGTTCTTCCTTAGGCATCTGCTGGCCCTGGGCAGAAAGCACAAGAGTCCATTGTAATCAGAAGTTTCCTGTCCCAGAGCCACTTGGTCCCAAATATCCAGGAGCTGCTTTCCAAATTACCACACAGAGGCTTATATCACTTATAAATGCCCAAGCTTATTGTTAACTAGCTCTTACATTTTAAGTTAACCCATACTCCTTACTTAAGCTCTGACACATGGTGGTGACTTTTCTCAGTATGGCAAGCCCATCTTTATTTCTTTGCATCTGGCCAACATCTCCAGACTCTGCCCTTCCTCTCCTCAGAATTCTCCTAGTCTGCCTTTCTCACTCAATCTCTTCCTGCCCAGCTATCATCCAATCAGCTTTTATTTAACAATGAGCAAATCCACAGCATTTCCCCTTTTGTCTAATTAAAAAGGAAGGTTTTAGCCTTAACATAGCAAAATTATATACAACAAAACAGTTATTAAGTAAGACTATTGAGTCCATTTGTATTTGGCAAAATTAGAAAAAAAATATTCTATTATCTATCCTATCTTGGCAAGTTTAAAGTTTCACATCTAATTTAGCTTTTACCATAATTAAGAAAAACTAGAACTTTGGCTATCTAGTCTTCAACTTCATCAAAGACCTCAGAAGGGTGAACAGTTGCCTAATGGGAGGGACTTCAAGCTGCCTGGATTCCTCTGCAAAGTTGGGGCATCCAACTCTGGCCTACAGGTCTAGCATATCTGACAGACTTTTCTGTGAAGCACAATTTTTGAAGGACTGTCCTTCCTTGTCTTGGCAAAGTGATCAGTTACTTTCCTTTGTGTTCTACTTGTCCAATTTGGCCAGTGTACTGTCAGCAGCTGAGGCAAGGGCAGTTTCTTGCCCAGGGCCTAACTTTTGCCATGAAGAAAGTAAACTCCATATGGAGTTTTTTCAATGCACATCATCTTCTCTGAAGTGGATTGGTGTTGCCAGGATCAGACATGTCTCACTTTCATGAAAAGTCTTAGGTTATTAAACATGTTAAATGCCATATTCTGTAGGTCTTTGAAGTGTTTGAAGATCATCTATCTAAATATATTTGTGTATGACCTTGAAAAGATACCTAACAAAAGTTTGACTATTTAGATGACTATTATTTTTTATTTCTGAATTATACATTACATTTTTAAAGGAGTTGCATAAACCCTAATACCTTAAACAAGAGTATATATATATATATAATATAATGAAATTGACTTTAAATTTGTATCAATAAACTAAAATTCATACCAATGTAAAATATTTTGAGATCAACAGTTGCTTTTTTGGGTTAAAGTAGACTCAAAATTCTACCCCTTTTTCCATCATTTCTATATTATATCCCCCTTTTTCGTTTATAAAAAAAATGACTATGACCAATAACAACTTGTAACTAACCTCCCTTAAATGAAAACCAACATTCTTAAACAATATTTTAGGAATTTGGGCATAGTTCTCTAGACTGTTCCCTGTTGACTGGGGGCACTGGCAATCTTTTATGGACTCTGAGGAAACTTAGAATTATGGTCAAGTCCTGACTGGGATATTTTGTGTGACTGAGCCATCTCAGTCAGTAGCCTTGAAACTGTTCTGGATGTAGAACTCAGAGGGAACTATGACAGAGGTGCTCTGAAATGTTGGGTCATTTGGACCATCCATTCCCATAAGAGATTTCTTGGGGGGTCTTCCTTAATCAAACCTGATTTTTCTTAACTCAGAATGAATCTGCAGCCTCTCATTTCCTGTGGAATAAAAGTAGAGCCTCTTTACCAATGTAACCTATCTTTTGACTTAAATTTTTAAGTCGAGATATTTTTAAAATACATAGGTTGATTTAATCTAGCAGCTCCCATAATCAAATTCTTTCAGCAGTTACCATTTGTTCATCAACAGTGAAAAAATTTAAAGAGAACACAGTAACATACAGTATCCAGACTTTCTGTGTATTTTCCATCTTTATGTGGCTTATTATGTTTTTATTACTCTACTCCTTTTTAAGAACTTTTTTCTATTATTTTTCTTTTCTTTCTTAAGCCTACACATATTTTTTAACACATTTGTAAACTGTTTAGAGGTTTTTTTTTTCTTCATCTGAATCTGTCTTACTGTGTATCTTTATCTTTTTCTGACCACATGAGCCTTTAAACTGCTAAGCAACATGGCTAGTACCAAAGCCCTGGTTTTAGTGGCTCGTTCCATGCTGTTCCTTGGTTCTGAGGTGCTAGCTTCATGGTGGAGATACCTGTTGGAGTCATAATTACCACTTCAACTCTGGGAAGTTTCTGATTCCATGTTGCCACCAAGTAGCATGCCACAAGCTGCTCATAAAACCCAGTTAAGTGTTTAGTAGCAGGATCCCCTTTTTTTTGTTTGTTTGGTTCGTTATTTTTGTTTTTTTTTTTCTTAATGTATTTTTAATTGATTTTATTGAACTATACATTTTTTTCTCTGCTCCTCTCCCTTCTCTCCCTCCCCTTCAAACCTTTCCCATGGTTCCCATGCTCCCAATTTACTCAGGAGATCTTGTGTTTTTCTCTTTCCTATGTAGATCCATGTATGTCTCTCTTAGGGTCCTCAGTGTTGTCTAGGTTCTCTGGGATTGTGGATTGTAGGCTGGTTTTCTTTGCTTTATGTCTAAAAGCCACTTATGAGTGAGTACATGTGATATTTGTCTTTCTGGATATGGATTACCTCACTCAATATGATGTTTTCTAGATCCATCCATTTGCCTGCAAATTTCATGATGTCATTATTATTTTCTGCTGTATAGTACTCCATTGTGTAAACGTACCACATTTTCCTTATCCATTCTTTGGTCAAGGAGCATTTAGGTTGTTTCCAGGTTCTGGCTATGAAAAACAATACTGGTAGCAGGGTCTTAAAAGAGCCTCATGGTTTTTGCCACTATCACTGAGTCAGGAAGTCTCTTAAAGGAGCTGCGCCTCTGCTTGCCGTTAGCAAACAGAGCCTACCCAAGAAGAAGTGGTAACCAAGAAGCCAAGTGTGACTCCGTCTATTACAATGTTTCGTTGTTTGTATTCATTAACAATATGAAGTAAAGTTGGAAATTTATGTCACTGATGGCGACGTGGTTACTCAGATTGAAACACACACATCTAAAGCTTAAAAACTAGCATCAACATATAAGAGAAAACATGCGATGCTTGTCTTTTTTGGATCTTGAGTAGAAAGTGGGGAGAATCTTGGAGGAACTGAGGGAGGAAACAGAATATGATCAAAATATATTCTGTGAAAAATATTTAATAAAATTTTTTTAAAATATTTTATTTATTTATTATGTATACAATATTCTGTCTGTGTGTATGTCTGCAGGCCAGAAGAGGGCACCAGACCCCATTACAGATGGTTGTGAGCCACCATATGGTTGCTGGGAATTGAACTCAGGACCTTTGGAAGAGCAGGCAATGCTCTTAACCTCTGAGCCATCTCTCCAACCCTAATAAAAATTTTTAAAGCAGACACTTGGAATTGACTTCCAACTCTGAAAATTTAAAAATTCTGCTGCCTTTGGAGGTTGATAAGATGATATGGTATGATATGAAATGATATGATGTGGTGTAATAATATGGTATGGTATGATATTATATGATATGGTATATGATATGATGATATGGTATGATATGATGACATGATATGATGTGGTGTAATAATATGGTATGGTATGAAATTATATGATATGGAGGTGGTATAGTTCGTAACCAAGGCTGAGCATCCCATTTTATTGCTTCGTTACAGATTGACGTTCTCAAGGCAGATCTGGAAAGTGCAGAATGGAAAGTTCTAGAAAATCTTATTCTGGAAGATGTCCTTGAGCAGATTGGCCAGCTCATTTTTGAGATTCATCTCCACTGGCCGGGCTTTGAGGTCAGTGGCAGCGAGAGCAGTGTGGTGAGGTTTTGGTATAGCCTCCTGAAGGAGTTGGAGCAGAAGGACTTCCGGCTTTTCCACACCTATAAGGACTTATCGAAGCCTCAGCTCTTCCTGAAGAAGGACATTCTCAATGCCAGCAGCTGTTATACGCTGAGCTGGGTGAACACAAGATGGAAGTAGCGCTATACAAAGCAGTGTTTGCAGATAGCAGCGTCCGTGCTTCCGGTCATGGAGCTAGCGTGTTACCTGCGTGGGGCAGGGGCTGTGTTACTGTCTCTGCAGTATATGAAGCCTTGAGCTTAACAACAACAGCAGCAGGAAGAACACCTCTGCTTCCCCAGACTGAGACTTTTCTGTTTTGCCTTTGACAGATGGAGGGTGTGTCCTCTTCACTCTCACTTGGAGGGTAGAAATATCCCGCCTGTGCCGGTTTCTGGTTTCCTTAAAATTCATTATGTGTCTATAGCTCACAAGTTTACATTAAAATGAAATTTTATTCATTTCCACTTTTACTCGGTTGATCAGATTTTAAACCGCACTGTTCATTTAAAGTTGGGACCCTCATTTAACCTTAGCTCACTTCCCTCAAGGTTTCTCTTGTCCAGCCAGTTAAAACTGTTCTTTACGCCCTATGGGTTTCGGCCATTCTTTCTCAACCTTGACTGAGGCCATGCTCTGGCTTCCTAAGAACTGCTGATTCCAGTTTCTGGGAACTCAGATACCCCAAGCTCTATCAGAGAACTTCAAGGGGTGTTGCGGGAGGTCCTTCCGCCCCTCCAACCAATAGCTGCTGTGATACCAGCCCATTGGGGCGTGGTCTCCCTCCCTTTAAAAAAAGCGGCTATTTCCTCTGCTCGCTCTCTTCACTTCCTGCTCCGCCGGAGACTACACTCCCTTCCTGGTTGTGCAGATGGCTGTTGTCTGAGACGGTGATCTGTAAGTTTTCCCCTTTAAATAAATAACACCCTATTAATCATAACTCCAAACTGGTGTGGCCTTGTTCGTGACTTATGCCTTCATCGGACTTTGGTTCCTTCTTTCATGCTCCGCCGTAAACACCCTTCGCGTCCTGTGGAACTAAGCACAAAATTGTGGTCGGTGACATTGGTTTGGCCTCGTTAGTGTATTTCAACTGTCCGTGAATGTAGAAGGATCCATGTGTCGTCTAAAATGGTTTGTATTGTGAGTTTGTGTGGTGTTGTCTCTGAAGAAAGGTGACCTTAGTCTGGCTTTGTTTGGATTTTGTCACAGATTTTTTTTGATTTATTCAAAGTGATTTTATTGCTCGTGTATACAAGGGAATTTATGCCACTAAAGCAGAGGCTGTGGATGACTCATATTTCCAGTTGGGTGGGAGAACCCGCTTGGTTTTATAGTAACGAGCCAGCCGGTGAATTCTGCTCTCTATCAGAATCAGGCGGAATTTAGCATCCTTATCCTTTCTGTTCCTCTCAAGATGCTTTCGGACAGCGACTGCCTTTTTAATCAAATGGTAGAGATCCTCAGGGAGATCAGGGGCAAGGCCTTTGGATTTAAGGATTCTCAAGATTTTATTACCAGTCACAAAACGGACCTGGGCCACACCGTGCGAGTCCCTCAGGATCACACCTATCTGGGAGGGAGTGAGGCCTTTCTTGGCCAGTTTGTAAATCTGTTCCTTCACGTCTTCAGACGCCAGCTTCAGCCACGTGGGGACGCTGTGGGGGTAGGGCAGCGCCGACTGGGACAGGCCCTTCCCTGGAGCGTGCATGCGACCCATGATGACGGAGGTCTGGGAGCAAAGAGCACAGACTTTTTTTTATTATAGTTTTATGCACTGAAGTGTATGCACAGCAAACATTCTTATATGCCAATGTATAGAGTGTACTATATTGTAAGAGTCCAATATGATCAACCCCTACATGTATACACACCTATAGCAAGATTTGCAGTGCATGGAGATTTAAGGCGCTGGAGGTTCTCGACAAGTGATGTAGAATATTGGCTTCATCACACCATAAATGAAGAAAGCAAGAAAGGATGTACTGCTGAAAACAACCCAGAGCCGCCACCCAGACCCACTTAACAGGCAGCCTGTGCAATGGCTCTGATATTTATGCTTAGTTTTCTTCACGGATAGTTTAATACTTACAATGGATTTTTGATGGTTGCTATGGCTTCCCTGTCTCTAGAACTGATTGTACTTATGTAGGTCAGAGTCTCTGCAGTGTTAGCATTTGTAGCAGGATAAATCCTCCAGTGTGGGAAGGCTGGCCTGTCCTGTTGGATGCTTAACAGCATCTCTGGATGCTTAGCCACCAGAGGGCAGGAACAACAATCCCACCCTCCACGTTGTCACACCCAGATGCGACTGCAGTGCCAAACGTCCACTCGGGAGCAACCTACTGCCTACAACCTCACCTCCAGTGTGGCGGAAGTACTGGTGTTGGCTCTGAGAAGTAGGGCAGGCTACTGGAGCCTTGGTGTTTGATTTCAGAGGAGGGGTAACACAGCGGCTCGTGAGGGACAGATAAAACAAAAGCCACCACTACCACCCACCAACGCAACACAGACAAAATACATCAAACAAGCAAAGCAGCAAAATCAAGTGTTATGTTTAGTGGGGGCTTTACAGAGGGGCCAGTCGCTGTACGTATCAGTCATTTCCCTTTTCCTTCAACAATCCAATGAGGAAGTAGCGTTTTCCAGGTATAAGGGTACAGAAGCCGAGAGGTTACATGGCCGGTATTTTGATAACTCACCTCATAGATGCAATGTGAATCTCCAGTCCCCGTCAGCTCCCACGGGGAGCATGCTCCACTCCCTGCACAGTGCAGCGGATATCAGACGCTACACCGGAAAGCTGGTTCTTGCCCTGGTTAGCTGAAGGAGGAGACCCAGCAAACACATCTAAACAGACATGCAAATTGGTGACGGTTGGGTTGAACATGCGGATGTGCTTAACTTGGACTTAATTTAAATAAGCATGTGAAGGTTTACTGAGGGAGTATGGGGACCCGGTGACTTCTCTGTAGTGTAAGTCAGGCAGCCAGAAAGGCTTCCTCGAGGCCCGGTGGCGCTCTTGCTCCTGTGTGTCGCGGTGCATAGTTCTCTCCTCCCAGGTTTGGTGCTTAAAGCTCGTCTCTCTCCCACAAATAAATGAGCCGGGATGTGAACATCTGTGATATGCGTCCCCTAATCAACACCAGCATAGTGTTGCATAAGTGATCCAGAAAACATGAATTCCATAAATATCAAATTACTTCAAAAAGCCTGCACTTTTTCACGTGAAGAATATAGGAGGATGTAGGACTTAGACGAACTGTGTGTGTGTTGAAGAGAAGCATCTTCCTCTTCCTGCACGTTACACGTCGTTGTAACAGGCTACGGGATAAATAGTTGCCAACTGTTTGGTGCGCTCAGATGAATGGAGCCAGGGAAAAGGGGACAACCTACACAAGAATTGACTGGCACTCCGGTAATATTTACAACAGGGTAGAAGAAAAGTAATTTCATGGATTTACGGAGTGTCCAGATCTGTGGTTCACTTCAGCGTTTCTGCCTTGGATATACGGTCTTGGTAGATGTGGTCCAAATCTGTCGTTCACTTCAGCATCTCTGCCTTGGATATACTGTCTTGGTAGATGTGGTCCAAGATGTAACTTTCCTCCATGTTAAATGCTTGGGTTTTGCAAAGCTGGCTGAAACTAGCTTTAGAGTTTAAACAACAAGGGGACCTCCACGCTCGGCTGGAGCAGCTGTCCTCTGGGGATAAACTCAGGTTTGCTTCATTTAGGCAGTGTGCTGACTGGTGTATTGTTGACACATTTGGGGAGAGGGAACCTCATCTGAGAAAATGGCCTATCAGGTCAGTCCATGGGCAAGTCCGTAGTGCGTTTTCTTGACTCTTTGATGGGGAGGGCCAGCATGGTGCATGGTGCACGGCTCCATCCCTGGGCTGGTGGTCCTCGGTAAGTAAGCAGGTTGAGCCAGCCATGAGGATCAAGCCAGTGAGTGTCACTCCTCCATGGCCTTTGCCTCAATTCCTGCCTCCAGGTTCCTGTCCTGACGTTGCTCAGAGATGGAGTGTGACCTGAAAGCTGTAAACTGAGATTAAACCTTTTCCTCCCCAAGTCGCTTTTAAGATAGGCAATAATTGTTCATACTAGCTGACTGCCGGCATTTTCTTATGCTAAGTAGCTTACGCTGGGAGAGGTACCTGAACTTTGTGAGGCCATCACCCAGAGTCTTAAAACTTCCTAGATTTGGGGGTTATTTTAAAAATTGGGATACTTTTATTGTATTTGTGTTCTTAAGAAAAATAAATCAAGAAGGCCTAATGCCATACTTGGCCAATTATGACAAATGCTACATTATCAATGTATTTTTAAAAATGCTCGGGAGCCAGAGTGATGTTAAAAGCACATATCTACACTGGCATCTGCACACACACACACACACACATAGTCGCATACAACACATACAAAAAAAGATAAAAATAAATCCTAACAAGGCATGGTGGCTCATGTTTTTAATCCCAGAACTCAGGAGGCAGAGGCAGGCAGATTTCTTTGAGTCTGAAGCCAGCCTAGTTTACAGAGCAAGTTCTAGGATAGTCAGGGCTCTACACAGAGAAACTCTGTCTCAAAAAGCAAACAAACAAATAAAAAAATCTTAAATATTTTTAAAAAACAAGTAGCTTTATATTCATCTCATGTAAAGTTTGTTGGTGGCGGGTTTGTAAATTTAAGGCATTATACTTGGCCAAATTTAAATTAAAATGAATTATACGCAGGCCCTAGTGTACACAGGATGATATTCCATCACCGTGAACAGTAGATTTGCTGGACACATGTATACATATATGTGTGTATATACATATGTGTGTATATGTATATATATGCCACTGTCTTTGATAGGAAGGATGTACACGTGCTTGCGCATGTGTGTGTGCATACACACACACACACACACACCACACATGTCCCTATCCTTGATAGAAATGACTTCATATCACCTAACTTTTCTTCTCTCACAAGATAAAAACTGCTCCTGCACAACCGTGGATTGCATGCACTCTATTGTAGTTTTCATACTTGTAGGAATTCCTATCGCTAGTAGCCTTTAAGTTACCCGCCCACTTGGGCGTGGCCTCTTATACTGTATATGCCGATGTAAAGTGTGCATCTGGCCTCTTTTCCGTTTCCCCGTTCCTGCAGAGGATTCTGATCTGTGAGTCTACCCCTAAATAAATAACCCTCTATTATACTCAATTCTGAGCTAGTGTGGGATTTCTTTTAAGCGTCCTTCTTCACATACTGACTCAGAAATGATGGGTTCTTGGGAGTTAGTACAAAGGAGGAAAAGTGATGGGAAAGGAGGGGGAGACTGTGTTGACTATCCCAGTTCTTAGATCAGTCTTCTAATAACTGAACCTCCATTATTGCCATATTTATCCAATTCAGCCATTAATTAGCTCTCACTTCCCCGAGGTCAATGCTAAGAAGGTCTCCAGGTTAGGTCTTTCAACCAGGAATGAAAACTACAAATTCAGTGTAACAAACAGCAAAAGGACAGATGTGTCCAAATATAAAGTAACAGGATGAAAAAAATGCTGGAGAACCTCCTTCAGCCAATGGGCTGTGAGAGGCCGGACCAGGCTGGGCGTGGCCTTGGGTACCAAAAAGGTGCGCACTCATACACCCTCTTAATCTCTCCTCTCTTGCCTGGCTGTTGGATTCGGTTCCTGTTCCCGTTTGTGCAGAGGACTGTGGTCTGTGAGTCAGCCCCCCTAAACAGAACCTTTCATTATACTCAATTCTGAGCAAGTGTAGGACTATTTTACTTGCGTTTATTCTCCTACACCTCACCTAATTTCCAAAAGTATTGAAAATAATTTTAATGACAGAAATCTTCAGTAAGAAATGATGACGTGGCCAGGCGATGGTGGTGCATGCCTTTAATCCCAGCACTCGGGAGGTAGAGGCAGG